GGGATAAAATAAAAAAGGGAAAGAAAAATCTAGCTTGTTTATGTGTATATAAACGTTCGCTATATTTTAACATTAAGTATGTATACTACCTCTAATGGAAAATCGGGTCGCGCGGTTAACGCGTTGTTAGACTTCACGGAATAATTTCGAACCGGGGAAAGTTAGATTTGATATATTGCCGATGGAGAGGAGCTTGACCACGCGGAATCTCGTTGTAGTGTCGTTTAGAAATCGAACGGTAAGATGATGATGATGATGATGATGATGATGATGATGATGATGATGATGATAATGACGACGACGACAACGACGACGACAACGACGACGACGACGACTACGACGATGATGATGATAATGATGTTGAAGATAATAGGGGGGAAGGAAATAATAAATTCCGTTTCCGCCGAATATTAACTCTCTTTCTCTTTCTCTTTCTATTTGTATTTCTATTCCTATTTCTCTTTTTTCCTTTTTCTCCTTCGTTCTATTTCCATTTTATTTTTTGTGCGTTTGTTTTTTCTTTTGTTTGTATTTTTTTGATATTGTTTTTTTCACTCGCCACCATAATCCATACGTTCATTCTTCTTCCTTTCCCTCTTCTACTTTTTCACTCGCACACACACACACACTTTCTCTCTCTCTCTCTCTCTCTCTCTCTCTCTCTCTCTCTCTCTCTCGACAAAATGAATTTCACCGAGTGTTTTAATATATAGTGGATTCAGTTTTCACTACGGAACATTTTTTTTTCTCTCTCCACGATGTAACCGAGAGGAACCACCTTGGCGCCATTCCATTGGTCGATAATCACGTTTCATATCTTAATGTTCTCTTTTTTTTTTTTTTTTTTGTAAATCACGGACATTGTACCAGGTGTGTACCGAGGTAAAATCAGCTGCCACTTTAATCGAATATCGTATGAGAATATCTCCAGAAAGAGAAAGAGAAAGAGAGAAAGAGAGGGAGAGAGAAAGAGAAAGAGAAAGAGAGAGAGATGCATTTGCACGGATTACGCGATGTCCGACACAAGTACATACATATGTAGCGCTCTCACGTGCGAAATTACGCTTCTTTTATCGAAACCGAGTATGTTTCTGTGTTTTCTGTGTCCATGGGACGACAGCTGCTGTGTACGCTTTCCCATAGAATGCCATTAATTATTACCACAACGTGCACCGACCAATTCCTACGTTATAATAATCTCGGTATATGTATGCATTATCTCCTCAGATCACAGACCCTATGTCCATTCGTATGTCAACACACAAATATTTCATCTTAGGTCAATCAGTTGTTTTTTCTTTCTTTTCTTTTTTTTTTTTTTTTCTAACTTACAAACCGATTTTTAAAATCTCACGTATAAATAAATAAATATTTCGTCTTAGGTCAATCAGGTTTTGTTTTCATTTTTTTTTCTTTTTTTTTTTTTTTCTTTTTCTCTGATTCATAAACTCTGATTTATAAAAACCTTGTCGTACTTTTTCTTTTTCTCCTTCTTTTTTCTTTTTTTTTTTCCTTACAATCTTTTTTTTCTTTCTTCCCCTTTTATTTGCCATTTGTAAAATTTAATTAATTTCGTTCATTCCTTCATTCGTTCGTTCATTTATTCACGCATTTGTAAGATTCATTAAAGGAAAAAATTAAAAAAAAAGAAAAAAAAAATAATAATAAAATAAATAATAATAAATGATAATAAAACAAAAAAAAAAAAAGAAAAAGAAGCAAAAGAAGAAAGATGAGAGAAAATGTTTTGATAATATCAAATCTAAACAATCAGACAAATTAGCTCCCGTTCCAGTTAATTCACATTCCTTTTGGTAAGTTGATGTTTGAAATGAGAACTTTATTTCCCAAAAGTAAGTTACAAAAGAAATAAATGATAGAGAGAGAGAGAAAGAGAGAGAAAAAGAGAGAGAGAGAGAGAGAAATGAGAGAAAGAGAAATGAAAGGAAAAAAAAGAAAAGAAAAGGAGTGTATTAGATCTAAAGCAAATCGGCAAGTTGTACTTGTATGTACCATCTAAGGCAGGAAGCGTATCTGGGCCGTTGGAATCGGAGAACGTCAAGTGGGTCACGGGAACGAATCGAGCTTCTTCATCTTTCTCTCTATCTCTTTCTCTCTCTCTCTCTCTCTCTCTCTCTCTTTCTTTCTCTCTTTCCCTCTCTTTATCTTTTTTTCTTTCTTTCTTAGGTAACAGAGAGAAGGTGTCAAACTTCCGTTGAGGAAGTTCTCGATCTTACTTGTAGAATAATATATATATATATATATATATATATATATATATATATACATATATGGGTATATACATGAATATGTATGTATATCATGGATAAATGTATGTGTATGTATGTCTATATGTATTAACATATCAGAGAGAGTATATGATTTTGTATATAGGTATATGCATGGCTGTGTATATATATATATATATATATATATATATATGCATGGCTGTGTATATATATATATATATATATATATGTGAAATTTTTAGTGATAATTATATATGTATGTAAAGAGGAATCTAAGAACGTATGTTATATATGTGTACGTATATCTAAAATGATATTTAAATAATTATATATGTATTTATGTATATATATCTAAAGAGGTATCTAAAAATCTATATGTGCTATATATATATTTATATATCTCATAGATCTGTAATGTACATGTATAACTATATCAGATATATATATATATATCTATAAGTGTTGATTTTTTTATTTCTTTCTTTCTTTCTTTCTTTCTTCCTTCCATCCTTCCTTTTTCTTTTTTCTTCCCCTCTTGTTTCTTTTTCTTCTTCTTCTTTCTACGTCTCATACTCTTTTGCTTTTCTTTCTTTCTTCTTTTTTCTTTTTCTTTTTTTGTTTCTTTTTTTTTTCCTAATCTTGCGACTTGTGAGCTTCGAGAGTTCTCCTTTACGTTTTCCCCAGAGGCAATCCCTTTCACTTCGTTGAAAGGAAGGAAGGAACAACAAACGTGTTGTTTCGCCTTGTCATCTTGATAGATTAGATCAAGTAGCTTGACTACTCGACTCTCTTTCTTTCTTTCTTTCTTTCTCTCTCTTTCTTTTCTTCCTCTCTCTTTCTCTTACCCTCGTCCCCTTCTCTACTCTCGCCCTCTCCACTGATTTTCTTTCTCCTTTAACATAATCCTTTTTTGTGTTGTTTTTCTTATTGTCTTTTTTCTCTTTTTTTGTTTTTTTTTGTTTTTTTTTTATTTTTTTCATTTGTCATTGTTATTCCTTTCTTCTTCTTCTTATTATTATTATTGTTGTTGTTGTTGTTGTTTGTTTGTTTGTTTCGTTCGACAAAATCCTTTCGTATGAATTTTTCTCATTAATTTCCCCGATTAATCGAATAATCCTAAACGCTAAATGCATTATATAATGTCATTAAATCGATATCATTGTTAAATTGTTGACGTTATTATGTCACCGATATTAATTATATCTGAATAAAATTGTTTTCTTTTATTATATCACGTCGTCGTCTTATTCTTTGACATTCTTTATAAAGGTAAAGATAAAGATTTAAAAAAAAAAAAAAAAAAAACTTCGTCTTTCATTTAATATTTCGGACTAATCTTCTTTACCTTTTTTTTTTTCCTTTTTTTTTTTCTCTCTCTCTCTTTCTCTCGATCGTCGTCATCGTCGTTTCCATTGTTTAAATTTGTTTTTACGTTCGACAATATCGACGATATCGACGATAATCGATGATAATAATTGATTATCGATTGATGCACCGTAAAGAAATAATACAAATTAATGATCACCATTTAATATTAAATCTATTTTGTAAAATATGATATGAACTACGATTTATATTCGAAATCGCAGCATTATCGAATAACCAAACGTTCCTATCGATCGCTATGAGATACATTCTACTGTCGTCGAGGAGACCGACGACTACGATAAAGAAATGAGGTCAAAGAAAACTTCCTCCCCCTCCCCTCTGCCCCTCTATCCCTCCTCCTCAAGTCTCAAGCCTCTTCTTCTTTCCCCCCTACCATCCCTATCCCTATCATGCCCCCTCCCCCCTTCCCCTTTATCGTTCCATCTTCCTCTTCTTCACGCACACAAACACGCACGCACACCTGCGAAGAATGAGTCCGACATTGCAAACGCGATTCGTTCGAAATTGATAGCGAGACGTCGATTGATACCGTATACATACTTCTGTCAAAAAGCTCGAAGTAATTTTCCTTTGATAGTTATCTGTATCTTCCTATATTTTGATTTTTTTTTTTTTGACTTTCTTTTTTTTCTACTTTCTTTTGTGTTTCTTTTTTTTTGCTTTTCTTTTTCTTTTTTTTTTTTTTTTTTATTCTTTTCATCTTTTCGAATTATTTCATTTTTTTTTTCCAATAGTTTTTCGAAAAATTTCATAAAATGTTTTTGAATATTTTGTTAATTTGAGAGATATCGATGTGTATATTTGTAAAATTGAACATACATTTGTAAAGAAATATTTCTTAATATTGAGAGATCGAGAATTATGTGAAATTTGTCGAATTATATATGTACGTTAAAAATAAGTATTAAATATATTTATTAGATCTATCATATAGTTCTGTCTTCTTATAGCGTTATTATATACACATTAATAACATTATTTTATTTCTTTAGATTTTTAGATACCGATTTATTTTGATTCAATATATATATATATATATATATATATATATATATATATTAAAGTATATAATTATATTATAAAATAATATAAATTCGTTTGAAATATATATGAAATAATATAAAAAATCAAATTCATTTATTATCTAAATACATTATCAAATATTTGTTGTATGTATTATAAAAAGAATCCAACGTACTCGTAGACAATATAATTAATAAATAAATAAACAAAAAAAAAGAAAAAAAGAAAATTCGACTGACAGAATTTCTTGATAGATCTAAAAAATATATATATATATATCCTGATAATATAAAAAAAAAAAGAAAGAAGAATAAATAAAGCATGTAAATAGAAACTTACGAGTAGGTGGTTGACGATAATGCAAATGTTGAAGACTTTGCGTTTGGTGATGGTGATGATGATGCGGGGGTCCCATCGCTGCTCCCATGGTATGGTTACCGTGCTGATGGTGTGGCGAGCTACCTCTGTGCGGATGATACTGGGAGGGATGATGCTGATGGGGATGATAGGAGGGTGGTAGAAAACCCGCTGTAGACGGATATACACCAGGACTGTGGCAGGCTGACCTACCCAATGCTGCTGTCGTACATTTTTAATTACGATTAGATTGACATTAAACTTTAAGTCCTACAAATTGTTTATCCATCTCTCTCTCTCTACATATATATATATATAATTTTTGCGAGATACATTTTACGTGAAAAAAAAAAAGAAAAAAAATAATATCTAGATTAAATTACTAATTTATCGAATTGAAATTAATATAAATATATTTAAATTTATATTTATATATATTTAAATTTAAATTAATTTATATATATATATATATATATATATATATATATAAATTGTATATTATGATGATCTTTTTTGATTATTCTTTTTCTTTGTTTTTTTTTTGTTTTTTTTTTTTTTTTGTTTTTTTTCATAACCATCATATTATTTTTAATATACATTAGAAAAGAATGAAGGTTACACACACATACATACATATACACAGACGTATACACAAATACGTACACATTTAAAGAATAAAATGAAGAAATACTTCGAAATAAGATAAAAATAAGATGGATCTTATTAAATAAACATCTTACCTGAGGATAAGTGTGAATGATGAGACGCCAGACTCGGTTGAAGGGATGAATTAGGATTGAGCCTGGCTTTTAGTAAGAGATTCGCGTCCTCGTTACCGCCTGAGGACGTACTGGATTCGACGTCGCTGACTCCGCTGTCCGCAGGGCTGGCTGGCAGTGATCCGCTTCCTGGTTTGTTTTCGAATGAAACAGAGCAAGCAGACGTTCTTATAGATTTTCATTACATTGTAGTGAATCAACAAGAAAAAAAAAAAAAAAGAAAAAACCAAAAAAAGAAAAAGTAAAAAGAGAGAGAGAGAGAGAGAAAGAGAAAGAAGTTAACGAAATGATAACATTAAAAAATGTTGGTTCGTTAAAGAAATTAATTTTATAGAAATTTATATGTATACATATACTGTACAATCTTCTCTGATCCATCTATATAATACCATAGTGATGTATTTACGTATTTATTGCGTTATCTAATATGTCTCATGAATTTTATATATATATATATATATATATATATATATATATATATATCGTATTAACGAAAAATTTATATTTTAATATTTTTCTTAGATTAGACATTTATTCCTATTGGACGGTGTATTTTTGATTTGAATAAATGTCATAGAAAAAGAAAATATTCGCAAAATTAAAGCTAAACAAAAAAAAAAAGAAAAAACAAAAATATATATATATATCCAATTGACAGTGATCTATCAATCGATCGATTTTCGATTCGAAATCATTTAAAAGAGAAAAAAAAGAAAATCATTGTCATCAGAACATCGAAATATGCCTTGAAGGGGAAAAAAGGGAGAAAAAAAAGAAGAAGAGAAAACAATAAAAAAAAAAAAAAAAAAATAAAAATAAAATAAAATCTTGCAAATACTTCATACACACACATTGTACATCTTACAAAAATTCAACTTCGAGCTCTTAATAATCTTCATCGGGATTTCAGGATCGTACGATTAAAAATAAAAAAAAAAAAAAAACAAAAAGAAAAAAATAATAAAAAAATACAAGCAATAAAATAAATTAATCAAAAAAAACAAGAAAAAAAGAAAAAGAAAGAAAAAAAAAAGAAAGAAACAATATTCGTCAAGCGTTAACAGGATATAATCGATAGATTTATCTTTAATCGGAAACCTTTTGTCCATCGAGCTCCTATCGTTTCTAATACCTTCTATGTCCGAAATAATTTAACGTCATTTATGAGGTCACTTTAAAAGTGGTCGAACGACTCCAAGATACTTTAGCTCATCCTCGCTAGCTTTATCGAACGCATCGGTATAGGAGCATCAAAGCAGCAAACAGTAAGGAGCAAACAGCAGCCAGCAATAGGAACAGTAACAGCAAGCAAGAGCGCAGACAAGGAGGAGAGAAGATCAGGAGGAGCAACAGACCAGGAGCAGACCAGCAGCAAACGAACGTGTTTTCGCGTGCGCGGTCAATTAAAGGCATCTTTATGCAACGGACGAAGGTCATCCGGTCATTGGGTATGCATATCTGCCGCGCTTCCCACGGCCTCTCCGCGAGAGGAGCAGGAGATGAAAGAGAGAGAAAGAGAGAGAGAGAGAGAGAGAGGAACCCTTTAGGGACTGGTTTACTCTCTCTTTCTCTCTCTCTCTCTCTCTCTCTTTTTAAACGAGACTATCTATCCGTCTTTCTCTTTCTCTCTCTCTCTCTCTTATATAGATGCCACCGCCGCCGCCTCCTCGTTGTCATGTCGCGCGACCTCATCCTCTCTCTCTCTTTTTCTCTCTTCTCCCTTCTTTCTTATTCTCTCCCCTTTTTTGCTTTCTTTCTTTCTCTCTCTCTCTCTCTCTCTCTCTCTCTCTCTCTCTTTCTCTCTCTCTCTCTGTCTTCTTTTCTCCTTTTCTCCTTTTTCTCTTTTCTCGTCTTCCTCGCGTTATGCAAAACGTGTCTCTTCGATCGTGCACACGACTACCACACACCGCGTTTCGGATATCCGCGTCGAATCTCACCGGCCAATCGCGTTGCTCCTCTCGTGCAACTACCAACGTTCCGTTCCTCCACTCACCCAATGATCACCACCACTTTGAAGAATGTCGTCTTTTTATGTTTATTCTTTTTCCTTTTTTTCGTTTTCTTTTTCTTTTATTTTCTTTTTGGGGACTGATCTTTCTTCTTTCTCTCAGATATATGCATACATGCATGCACGCACGTATGTATGTATATATGTATGTATATATGTATGTATATATGTATGTATATATGTATGTATGTATGTATGTGCGTATGTATGTACGTATGTATGTATTTATTATCCACGCAAGTTTCTTTTCAATCGTTGCAGACGAGCGGAAAAAATTTGCTCAAGTTTTAAAGTCCGACTAGAGAAAGAAAGAGAGAAAGAGAAAGAAAGAAAGAGAGAAAGAGAAAGAGAGTGAGAGAGCGAGAGCGAGAGAGAGAGAGAAAGAGATTATGTCTGGTTTTCTTTTTTTCCTTCTTTTTTTTTTTTTTTTTTTTGCTGTTGCTGCTACTGCTGTTGCTGCTCGTACATGCAGATTTGAATTACCATTGTTATGGGTGATACGTAAATGTAATAAATAAAGCTCGCAAGTGTTAGGTGATACTTTTTTAAAATAGTTTTTATTCTGATCTTGTTTCATTTCAAAAATTTAGTTTTATATCATACGATCCCTAATATCCGTAGAAATCGTTAATAAAATCTTGGATGCGTTTCTCGAAATTTATTCGATCGATTTTATTTTATTTCTTATTCTTTCTCTTTTTCTTCTTATCTTTTTCTTTTTCTTTTTTTCCTTTTCTTTTTTCTTTGTTTTTTCTTTTTTTTTCTTCTTTTGGTAATAACACCACAGCAAGATTTGTTATTATGATTTTTTTTTTAGAGAACGCGTTCCCCGGCTATAAACAATAAATTGGTAATAATTTTGAAAGTGAAGAAAAAAAAAGAATAATTCGTACGTTTCGAAAGTGTTGTCGATTTTCTTTTCTCCCTTCCCTTCCCCCCATCCATTATGCCCTTTCAACTCTAGTCTTATTCGATTAATTATTTATTTTTGCAATCCATATTTTTTTATTTTTACGAAATAGGAGAGAACAAAAATATATACATATATGTAAAATTGGATTAATGGAAAAAATTACATTATTATAATTAATTTCTTGTTTTTTTCCTTTTCTTTTTGTTTTGTTTTACGTTTTTTTTTTTTCTCTACGAAACTTCCTCTTCTACGAATCGGTAAAATTCTATGGTGTTTGATACATACATTGAATCGCGTATTTAAAAGTTAAAGGCTAATGATAGCAGGGTCGGTCGGTCGCTTGGTCGGTCGGTCGGTTGGTTGGTTGGTTGGTTGGTTGGTTGGTTGGTTGGGTTTAGCATCGAGAGAAAAGTCAGACTATAAAGAGTTTATTGCCTACCTCCAACGGAAATGATTTCCCGAGCAAGTTGTTTAGAAACCAACGTGATATCTACCGACTTAAACGGGCTTCCTATCTCGAACGATCTCGTATAATCCATCGACTTGTGGAACTGTTTAAAAATCGATTGCTATCGATTCTAATATCAAAATAAGCTGACTCGTTTGATTATTTTTTTAATAAGATTTAAACTAATAAACTCTTACGAGACAGTAAAAAGAAATTTTCTATTGTTATTTATCGATATTAACGAATCGTTATGGACTAGTGCAAATTTTTTTTCCATGAGACGAAATTGAAAAATTTTCTCAAAAAGGGGCAGAAAAAGAAAAAGAAAAAACAAAACAATAACATATTGAATGAAACATTGATTTTTATCGATGAATAATTTTTTCTTAATGTGATTTTAATGATCAACCTGTAATTTTGAACGAAATTTCATTTCTTTTATAATTTCAAATTCATAGGAAGAGAAAATTTCTAATTGATTGTATTATATGTTTCATACTGTATATAGAGTATATAATCACAAGACTTCTACTACCATTTTAGTTACTTCCGTTCTTAATAAATCGAAATCAATTTTCTACTCGTTCTTTCACAACCAATTTGAATGAGAAAGTTATAAGAATAGTAAAAAGTTATTTGTATTATTGAAAAAAGAAAAAAAAAAAAATAGAAAAAAAAAACGAATATCAAGATCTAATAAAACAATTCCAAATCGTGCCAAAAATATAAAAGTAAAAAAGAGGTATTTAAAAAGAAAAAAATCTCTAAGAAAAATTAAAACGTTAATAAGGTCAGATGAGATGCAACCGACGATATTATGAAAATCAAAATGATTGAAAAAATTGTGAGAGCAATTGAAGTTCTTTTTTTAAATTAGATTTCGATAAAAAAAGAAGATATCAGAATCCGTATTAAAAAAAGTCGATACTGTAAGAACTTTGAGAAAATATAAAAGTTAAAAAAAAAGAAAAAAGAACAAGAAAAAACCAAAAAGAGAAGAATATATTGAAATAATAAAATTTCTTCATTGAGAAGATCGAGTCGCGTGATATTACAGAATTAAGATTAATTGTGAAAGCAATGATAGTAAAAAAAAAAAAAAAAAAAAAAAAAAGAAGATGTAAAAAGGAATTCTTTTTGAATTAGTATCGCAAAAAAAAAATAGATCAGAATCTAATAAAACAATTCGATAGCGAAAAAGTCGTGACAAAAGAATATAAAGAAGAAAAAAAAAGAAAAAAAAAGAAAAAAAAATCAGAAAGAGATAATAAATCTCGAATATATTAAATGATAAAATCAATCCATTGAAAAGATCGAATCGCGCTATTCGCGTGATATTGCAAAAATCAGAAAAAATTTTTGAGATTTAGTATAACAACAACAACAACAACAACAACAACAACAACAACAATAATAATAATAATAATAATAATAATAATAATAATAATAATAATAATAATAATAATAATAATAAAAAAGAAAAGACTAAACGAACTAAACTTTCTATTAATATCAAAAAGAAAAAAAAAAGAAAAAATTAGTATCTAACAAAGTAATACGATAACGCGAAGATTATGTCAAAAGCAATGAACAAAGGAGAAAATATAAAAACAAAACAAAAAAAAAACAAAAAAAAAAATAAATAAATCTCCAAGACATGTCTGAAAAAAACTTCGAATTGATCGAAAATAATCAAGATCATATGTCATCGTATATAATAATAATAATAATAATAATAATAATAATAATAATAATAATAATAATAATAATAAAAATATTAAAAGTAAGAACGATAAAAATAATAATTAAAAAACAAAAAGAAAAAAAGAGAAATAAAAAAGGAATGAATTTCTTTTTTATAGAAATCAATCTTAATAAGCGTATTAAAAAAATGTTTTATTACCTGGCGTACTCGTCGTAGCAATGGCGGCAGTGGTGTAGGGCGGTTGTTGTTGAGCCATTTGAGAATGGCCGGCTGGCGTTGGCATATGTCGGCCATAACCGTTTTGCACCCCTAGCGTATGCTGTTGGGGATGCTGCGAAAGGATTCCATGGAGAAGACGAGCACCGGTAGTCGTGCTCGTTGTAGTCGCACTCGTCGAACCTGGTTCTGCTTTTACACTCGCCAAACCTAATTGTTCCTTTTCGCTTGTCGTCGTCTCGTGCGGTTGTACCTCCCTGGTATCCACTGGAAAAAAAGGAAAGAAAAAGATCCCACTCGTTAGACATGTATTGATTATTGTTAATAAAATTTTATTAAATCGTTTTACGATTTTTTCCTTTTTTTTTTTTTTCTTTTTTTTTTCATTTCAACATCTTCGAGAAAATGATTTACTTTTCAATCTATATTTTTTTATTCATTATGACGTTATTAATTAACAATCCAAAAGCAATTATTTCGTTAATTAATTTATTATATGCGTATGCATGTATGTGATTGTTAATCGATATTAATTTTTTTTTTCTTTTCTTTTCTTTTTTTTTTTTTTTTTTGTTACATATCCAACGTTATTCTTATTATATATTATCACGATTGATATGAGATATACGATATATTCTTAATTCATTATTATTTTTATTATATATATATATATATATATATATATATATATATATATATATATATATACGCATACGTGTATACGTAGAGCTAAAAATAAATGAGAATTAAATTGGAATAATAATAAAGAAAGAAAAGAAAATACAAAAGAAGAAAAAAGAAAAATATATCCAACAAATCGAAGAGAACTTCGTTAAAAGGTATATGGTCGATGACGACGATGGAAAAAAAAAAGAAAAAAAGAAAAAAAATAAAAAGAAAAAAAGATATCCCACGAAAGACAAATATGGCAGATTTATGTCACAATGTGTACGCGTTTAACGTTAAAACGTGACAGAAGAGAAGAGACGCGACCTAAACGGTCGCGTTACGCAGAGAAAAAAAGGAGATAGAATGAGAGAGAGAGAAAGAGATAGACAGACAGATAGATAGATAGACAGAGAGAGAGAGAGAGAGAGAGAGAGAGAGACAGATAGACAGATAGAAAGAGAGACAGAGAGAGTGAGAAAAAGAGAGATATGGGGGAAAAAAGATAGAACGAGAGAGAGAGAAAGAAAGAGAGAGAGAGGAAGAGAGATAGTGAGAGAGAGAGAGAGAGAGAGAAGTGTTCTCTCTTAAGGGGTATAGTGCGGCGCTGAGGAGAGGAAGTGAAAGCCGACGTCTCTCCTTGACCCACTGCAACGTTTCTACCTTCCTTTCAGGCAGTGCCAACCTCGCGGCTTCATTAAGCAATTTCTCGTTGCGCTGCTGGGGAAAAATCGCCGTGGAAAAGCGTCCGAGCGAGCAAACGAGAGACGGAACGAACTAACGAACGAAAGAACGAATGAAAGAACGAAAGAACGTACGAACGAGTGACCAAGAGAGGGAAAGAGAAAGAAAGAAAAAGAGAGAGAGAGAAAAGAGAGAGAGAGAGAGAGAGAGAGAGAGAGAGAGAGAGAGAGAGAGAGAGAGAGAGAGATAGATTGAGTGAACGAACGCACGCGCCAGAGCACGCGAGCACGCGATCGATTTCGATCGATAGATCGATCGATCGATATATATATATATATATATATATATATATATATATACTTATATATACAGATCGATCGATCATCTGTTCATAACAGACGGCTGAGATCATAGAAATGTATAATACGTATACATATCATACATAGTGCCCTACTTTTTCTTTTTTCTTTTATTCGCTTTTTTTTTTCCTTTTATTTTCTACCTTTTTTATATTCCTTCTTCTTTTCTCCTCTTAGTAAAATAATGATTATGATTATGATGATTATTATTATTATTATTTTTATTATTATTATTATTATTATTATTATTATTATTATTATTATTATTATTATTATTGTTATTATTATTTATATCATCATGATCATCATCATCACTCTCTTCGACCTTTCTTGTTATTTTCTTTTTATATTCTTTTTACTCTTCATCATCCTACTTGTCCGTTTTTTTTTCCTTTTCCTTTTCACTTTATTTCCTTTTCTTTATGCTTTCCCTTGTTTTCTTTTTTCCTTTCTCTTTCTTTCCTTTTTATTTTATCTCCACTCAATTCTCTTAATTTATTATCTAACTATAAAATATATATATATATATATATGTATGTATGTATGTATGTATGTATGTATGTATGTATGTATGTATGTATGTATGTATGTATGTATGCATGTATGTATGTATGCATGTATGTATGTATGTACGTATGTGTATGTCTTTTTTCTTCTTCTTTATTTTATTTTATTTTATTTTTTTTTTATTATATTTTCCTTCTCCACGAAAATGACGAGAAAGTTCAATCCATAGATCCTCGATCGTCGCAAAGTAGCGATCGAATGAGCACGAACGAACGAACGAACGAACAAACGAACGAACGAACGAACGAACGAACGAACGAACGAACGAATGTACGTACGTACGAACGAACGAACACAACATGTATTACATTTACGTTAAAGGTCAAAGGAAATTGTGTAAGATGGAGATATATCTTGCGAGATCTCCTCGAGACTCTGGCGAATCAGAATGCGATCCTTGTGCTCTTTAAGCAAAACGTTGAATATGTTCTGTACGTGCGCTTAGAGAAAGACAGAAAAAGAGAGAAAGAGAGAGAGAGAGAGAGAGAGAG